AGGTCTGAACTTGGCAGTGGGCCTCCGAGAGGAAACTCCTGCTGTCAGTCAGACTCCAGGCAGCCAGAGGCGCCAGTCATCCCCACCCTGAGTTCCTGCTCCTACCTCCGGAGGGATGTGTATGTGGGCCTGGTGGGTGCTGTGTGCCCAGCCTGAGTCCCGGTCCCAGATCTGGCCCAGGCTTGCCTTGTGTTAATGGGCTGGACCTGCTTTTCCTGTGGCTTCCCAGCCAAAGTGATCTTGACCTGGGCTTGGGTTTTTTGGGGGTGGGTGCTGCGAGAGGACCCCCAGGGCTTCCCATGCCTGGTTGTTGCCTTGACTCTGGGCCCCACCCAGTGACGACGCTGAGCAGGTGTGGGTGTGGGAGTATGAGACCGAGGAAGGCGCACACGACCTGTACATGGATATCGGGGAGGAGCTCCGCTTCCGGGTGGTGGATGAGAGCTTTGTGGACACGTCCCCCACTGGCCCCAGCGCTGCCGGGGTGGCCTCATCTGGCGAGGAGCTGCCGAAGAAGGAGGCTCCATACACACTTGTGGTGAGGGGCTGCCGCCAACCCGGGGACTGGCGGGGGGAGAACCCAGCAGGTGTTGACTTGGGGCCCCACTCCCAGAAGCCCCTCTGCTGGCAGGCCGGGGTGTAGGTCCCTTCCCCATGGGGAGCCTTATCTGGAGGCCAGGGAAGGTGTCCTTGCGGTGTGGTGACGGAGCTGCCATGGCTGTGCGAGTCAGACCCCTGCCCTTAAGAGGGACAGAGCCCAAGCTGGGTGATAAGGCTGCTAATGGGCCGAGGGAGGGAAACCAAGGCAGGGGCTCGGGAGACAGAGTCCGGACAGCAAGGGTGGGGCTTCAGGGCGGTGACCTCAGGGCTGCTCCCACCCCACCCTCAGTAAGCCAGCACTTCCCTTACAGGCCCCCAGAGAGGTGGGGGCAGGGAGGGGAGGCCTGGGCCGTGTGCTTCATGTGCCTGCCGGGAGTGCTGGTGTGTGCCCACCCTTTCCTTTGCCTGTGCTGGGCCTGCTGGGTGCCCGGATGGTCCCCTGTGCCTCCTATCCCAGTTGGCTCCAGCCCTTAAGGTAGACGCGATGTGCCTCCTCTCTCTACCCCTGGCAGGGATCCATTAGTGAGCCAGGCCTGGGTCTTCTCTCCTGGTGGACTAGCAGCTAGCCCTGGGCGTGACAGCAGACCCCGTCCAGTCCAAGACACCAGCGCAGCGCTCGGGAAGGTGGTGCTGTGAAGACAGCAGCAGCTTCTGCAGACTCCTGGGTGGAGGGGTGTGCCCACCACATTGTCTCTTTCTCCGCCGCCCTGGCCCTGCTCCTCTCCCCAGAGTGTTCCCTGGAGGGCCGGACAGCA